GAAAACATTAATTTTTATTTGAATTATCACTCAGTAGGTTATTTAACCATCTATTGCTATAGTTTTGGAAGGCTTTTCAAACATTAAAATGTAGCTACAGATTCAATAAAATAAATTATTTTAATAATTAAGTTATAATTAAATCACATTTGCATGTTCACGGTAGGGTTGTGTATACAAAACTGGAAATAAATAACACCGGTATCACCGTCAGCACTGTCTATCGCGGCAAGCCTAGTTCACGGTTCTCTGACGTTATTTTTTTAGTAAGTGTTTTATTTTTATTTTGATGTTTTAAAATGACTTATTTTAATTTGACCTTTTAATGATTTTATTCATTATTAGCTTTTCATTAAACTCGTGAACCCCCTGCAGTTAATTTATAAACCTCAGTTTGGGAAACCTTGGCGTAATGTAATGAATATATTTTCTTACTCTTTGTATTTTTATATCAATATGGCACAAGATTATCCTATTTAAATCAATGTGATAAACGAGTTAGGTCAAAAGTAATCAAAAAGTAGTCTGATTACATTACTAACATTAAAATCAGTGTTCAGTGTAAAAAGAAAAAATATAGTGCTACAACTGAAAATATTTAGCTAAAGCAGGAACAAAAAAAAATCTGATTCTCCAAAGCAGTTTCAGAGGGCTGAAATTATTGCCCGAAATGGTGATGTTTAATTAGAGCTTCTCAGATGAAGCGTTTTGACTGAATAATCATGGCCAAAAGTTTTGGCAGTGACAAATTGTGTTTTGCAAAGTTTGCTGTTTCAGTATTTTGTAGATTTATTTTTCCACATGTTTACTGAAAAACAATGATAAGCATATCATAAGTTTTAAAGGCTTTTCTTTGATGCAAAGCGTTGATGGCTGCACGTGTTTCTTTGGAGGTAACCATTGCAACAAGAACACAATGGTTGGAAGCGCTTCTTCCCTCCTTTTATAGCAATCAGTCTGCTCTTACAATCTAATTAGTATGATAGTGATTTCACCTGACTGGTACTCATTCACACTTTCACGTGTGCTGCTGATATGATTAGTCAATTAATGTTAGCTGGTCAATGTGTGTCAGGATCAAAAAACAGTGAAATTATTATTATTTTTTTTAAGTTCATTTTTTGGCCAATGAAGCTTTTAGCAACTATTTAAAATGCATCTGATCACTCTACACAATAATCTACCATGACTGTACAGGTAAACATGTCAGCAGTAACAAACCATAAAGTAACCATCACAAAAAAAAAAAAAAAATGCTAGAGTAGCAACATGTAAAATTTGTATGACTGAAATATCTCATTGCCAAACAACTTTACTTTTAACCTTCGGGTTACAAGTCCGACTCTCTAACCATTAGGCCATGACCGCCAATTTTGAAACACGAATTTTGAAAGCCTTAATACAACTGCCAGAAGTAAACAGTTAAAGTTAGGCTAGAAACTGACTACACCACCTTCTCATGACTTTAACATCACCATCACTAAGTCACTGACAACTCTTTCTATCATTATTTCAAATCTACAAGTTAAAAACTATTCCAACTAAAACTTTGCAAGCTGCAAGTACAAACACAATGAAGCTGTAAAAGCAGACTCGTGACTCCTGTTGGGTGTGATGACGTTTAACGTTCTCACCCAACCTCTGTAGTCCATATTAAAGACACAATATGTAAGTTTTTTTTATTAAAATATCCAAACACCACTAGAACAGTGTTATATAACGGCGAAAATTACATTGTGCCTTTAAGCCACAAAAGATTACCAAAAAAATCACAAGTAGGGGATATTACTGATGTATTTTATGTCATAAAGTGTGAAAAATATTTTGAGGTTGTTTTAACGCGCATTTGACCAAAAACTGACGCATTGACTTCAAAAATGCTGACTTATTTCCAGGTTTTAGGATTCGTTCCTGCATCACTCTGTTGGCTTTTCCAGGTTCTCCCGTTAATTGTAATACCAGTGGTCCATCTCAGCTACATACAGTCTCTGGTTAAGCTCATTTGAATTGGCTTTAGATCTTTAGACATGACAGTGCCTTGGAAACCTGCCTGAAACCAGTTTTCTTAGGAGGAACCTTCATACACAGAAGCAGTGTTTAGTCATTTACTGACTGGGCAAGAAGCTGCACAACCTATGCCACTTCTGGTTGTCAGATGTCCATAGTTAATATTGTAAAACTGTGCTTGCAGTTACATGCAATTAGATTATTAATGGTTTAGTGTCCAAAACGGCTATAGCAGGGGTGCCCAAACTCGGTCCTGGAGGGGTGCCCAAACTCGGTCCTGGAGGGCCTTTTAAGTTTTTTCCCCAAATATCTTTTCAAAACATTTTGTTCACACAGTAAGTTTCATAGTTATGGGTAACACGTGTCCCTGAGTACATGAAACCTCATATGCGTTTACGTTATGTATGTTTAATCCTCACAAACCTGTTTTTGTTTTCTTATCAGTTCATCCCACCATTTCTAGTCTCTATTTCTAATGGCTGATGTCCAAACGCACCAGCATCCACTGCTGAGGCCTGTGTCCCATTAACCCAAATTCATATCAGATGTTCAGCACGAGCAGGAAACATAAATGTGACACACCCAGATATAAAACTGAAGTTCAGCGAATATCAGTACAGATAGACTAAGCTCCATGTTAGACTACATGCTGCTGTATTATTGTATGTTTATGTAGATTGTCTGATTTGAGTACTGAATGCTTGTATTTTTGCTGCAGTTCTGTGTGAACTCATGCCTGTGTTTGTTGGGTCAGGTGCAGCAGAGAGTGCCATGCAGGAAGGAGAGGAGAGGAAGTGAGGCGATGGGCTGCACCTCAGCCAAGCAGTTGTCATCTGTACCAAGTGATGAAGAGGGCCGGGGTAAGGCCTACAGCAACGGAGATGCCTTCTCCGGTCAGTGTCGCAGCTGTGTGGCCACAGATATTCACGTTTAGATAATGTTAATGTGATATTAATAGAGAAAATTCCAATTCGATTCCTGACTTAGAATTGAGTGTATATGGAGTGAATTGGATGCTAAGTTGAATTTAATACAATTCAAAATTGTATTAAACGTAAACATGTAGCTGATGTAGCATATGTGTTTGTTTTATTTTGCAGTATAACATTACTCATAAACATCTTGTACATACAATATGGAATATTGCAATAAACATTAGTTATTAGTTAATAATATTTGCAATGCCACTTACAGAATTGTACACACACACACAGATATATATATTTATTTGTATGTATTACATTGATCAAATGTGACAGTAAAGACTTATACATTGTTATGAAAGATTTTTATTTCCAATAAATGCTAAGAATGCAAAGAATCCTGAAAAAAATGTTTCCTGAGCAGCAAATCAGCATATTAGAATGATTTCTGAAGGATCATGTGACACTGAAGACTGGAGTAATGATGCTGAAAAATTTTGACCGTCACAAAAATAAAGAAATAAATTATCATTTTAAAATATATTAAAATAGAAAACAAATTGTAATAATATTTCACAATATTACTGTTTTTACTGTATTGAGCATACAACCTCTTTCAAAAACATTTTCAAAAATTTACCAACTCAAATGTTTAAAGGATAT